TTAATTGAGTAATAGCAGAAATTCTATGGAAAGGGCTGTGCAATACTAAAACAATTACAGGTGTCAAGATTGGAAATTATTTTTAGTATTTCTAACAAATATAAATGTTGAAATGACTTTATATTTGTTTGTTTGTTTTGAATTTTGCACAAAGCTACACGAGGGTTATCTGCGCTCGCCATCCCTAATTTAGCAGTGTAAGACTAGAGGGAAGGCAGCTAATTATCATCACCCACCACCAACTCTTGGGCTACACTTTTACTAACGAGTAGTGGGATTGACCGTAACATAAATATAACACTCTCACGGTTGAACGGGCGACCATGTTTGGTGAGATGGGGCTTCGAACCCGCAGATTGCAAGTCGAGCGCCCTAACCATCTGGTTATGCTGGGCCTAGGACTTTATGATCCCTGCTCTTGAGCACTCAGGTGGAATTTTTGCAATGAGCATTTATAGAATTATTCTATGAGAAACCACCTAATGTCACTTGTGCATAGGCCCGGCATGGCCAGGTGGTTAAGTGCTCGAACCATCAGGCAATGCCAGGCCGACAAATGAATGTATGTTTGTTTGTTACTAAGCACAAAGCTACAGAATGGGCTATCTGTGCTTTGCCCACCGCGGGTAATAAAACCCGCAATTTAACTTATCACTGAGCCACAGGCGGGCATGCAAATGTATGAGACTTGTACATGATTTTCACGTTTCCAGCGAGGAATTTGTACTCTTAACCAGCACATAATATTAGTCAGGCTGTAATGAGTCCGAGTAGAAAATTGTCACTAAATTTAATCAATATTTGTTTTTCTGTAATTCCAACTGACGTGTGTGGGTTGAGTTATGAGTGGCGGTACAATAATCTGATTGCTTGTTTACTGGTGTTTGCGAACGTATAGAAGAGCAAATGTAGTTTACTGTTGAATATTGTCCGTAGCCTGTGTTGGTCAGAGAGTATATTGAACTATGCTGTAGGTTAAAGCACGAATATTAACCTTGGTTTAAGTAATTTAAGCTTGTAAGTCTTAGTTTGTTTGAATGATTTCCTGCAATTAATTATTTTTGTGATGCTGATAGAGAATCAAGTTTCATGTCTCATAGACAGTGGTATGATATATCAGGTAAAAACTTTCAAGATCTAGCCGATGAGAATAGCCAGAAAGATTGCTAAAGTTACTCTACATAAGTACTTAGGCAGTCTGTATGATTCAGGTTTAAGTTTGACACTTTATTGTCTGTTTGACTCTATAAGAATATGTTATGTCATTTACGAGTATTTGTATTACATAAATCAAACAATTACACAGAGAAAATAACTGTCAGGCGATAAATGAATAACAAATTAAGGATTTAATCTAAATGTTATGATGTAATATATGAAGTAAACTTTGATTACCGACTATGTAGCTTCATTGGAACATATGGTGCCACAATATTTTTATTGACGCTGGCGAAAGAAATACTATCAGTTTCGACAGTGAAATATTCACTAGATAGTGGATTATCTATTGTAGAGATAAAAATAACAGCAGAACTCACTTCATATAAGGGAAAACACAATTTCTGGAGCCTGACATGGGCTTGTTGTTTAAGGTACTTGTTGAACCCTTCAGCGAACATGATTGCATTTTCATCCGCGAAGGGCATTATAATGAACAATCAATCCCACTCTTCATTGGTAAAAGAGTAGCTCAAGAGTTGTTGGTGGGTGGTGTTGACAGTTGCCTTTCCTCTAGCATATCACTTCAAAATTAGGGACGACTAGCGCTGATAGTTCTTGAGTAGCTTTTCGCGAAATTCCAAAAACAAACAAACATAAAAGCCACCATTTCACACGGAATATCGAGTAAAGTAGTTGGGCCAGCCTTTCTAATTCTTCTGAAACTTTAGTTAAGATCTCTTGCTTCCACCTTACTCTGCTCCTAAACTTTGTTAAGAAATACTCTTCTGGTGTGTTACTCTAAACTTATTTTATTATGGCAGCCAGAAGTGACTGACAGTTATTAGAGCTCTCATCTGGAAGATTACTGGTCCTTTTAAATTAGCAGCAAAATGAACAGCTTGCTTTTCACTAATCCACCTATTAGCGTTGGAAATTATTTGAAATTGAGCCTGATGTGCCTCCCATGGTCCCTTTGCGCAATAGTCTGTTGGTTTCTTGATTGGGTCATGCTGTTCAACCATCCTGCTAAATTATGTAAGTTGATGAGGTAAGTATATAACTAGAATAGTCCAAGAAGGTTCTGCAATCATAGATGGCACAGCAATAGTAGTAATAAGTGTAAACCAAGTTGATTTCTCTATTCCATATTTGCTCCCAGTAACTCAATCGCAAGTGTGTAGGCTTACGACGCTAAAATTTGGGTTTCGATAACCGTGGTGGGCAAAGCACAGATAACTTATTCTACAGTTTTGTGTTTAACAAAAACCAAACCAAATCAAACCACAACAATGCCATATTCCATACTTAAAAAGTGTTTCAAGATGGAATTCTTAGGTAGATGCAGAAAAAGATGTGGCTAGTTGGATCATTTCATTTTCCAGATGTTTTATTCTGTCACTTATGTTATTTTCTACCTCAATTATTTTGTTGCTATCTTCTTTTACTTCTTCATTTTTGTCATTACAGTCTTTCTGCACTTCATAGATGTCTTTTTGTGTTACTTCAATTTTGTTGTTTGTAATTCTCCTGCACATCATTAATAGCTTCTTCGATCTTGTCTTCAATCAAACTTATCCTCGCTATTAAGTATCCTTTAAATCTTACGCCTCTTTCTTTTAACTCCTCTCTTAAATTTATGTCTCTTTCTTCTTGGCTTTCTTTTAATTTCCTGTTAATTTTTTTTTCTAGACCTTCTTTTAATGTTCTGTCCCTTTTTGCTTGTTTTTCTTTCCGACATTTCATCATTTCGAGCACATTTTCGATATCATTTCGAGAAGATTTTACGAAAATAATCCCACTTTTGACAACAATGTTGTAACGGTTTCTTTTGTTGGGTGGATTTGTTTGTTAGATGTTAACAAAGCTACTCGAGGATTGTCTGTGGTAGCCATCCCTAATTTTGAAGTGATTGACTAGATGGAAGGGAGTTATCAACACTATCCATCGCCAATTCTAATCAAATAGTGAGATTGATCATCACATTATAACGAAAGAACAAGCATGCTCAGTGACAGAGCCATCAGGTCATACTAGGCCACGTAGAGTTAGTATTTTTGATTATTCGGTAAATATAAGGCAAAGTCCAGTCCACTTAACAAAAATAAAATCATATATTCCTTCTACCACAAGATCTACAATACATTGAGTGATAGATACAACTGACAATTAAAACTTAAAGTCACATGTTAATGTTCCTCTAGTATCTACGACACAATCTCAAACTGGTTGACATACACACTCTCTAACTTGGTAATGGATCGACAACACTGTAATAGACTCAATTATTAATTAACTGGCCGGCTTATACACTCGCTTACTCAGTAATCGATCAACAATACTGTAATAGGCTCATTAATTAACTCACTCAAATTTTTGTGAATCTCAAATGATTGACAAGGGCCTTTTTGGTCTTCCTCAACATCCTTCCAATATATACTAAACAAGCAAGAATCGTGGACTCTATAAACTATTGTATGCGCAATTCAGAGATTAAATTAAAGTTTTTGGTTATTTTTCAACACACTTTCCCCTAAAAATCACGCATAAATGGTACTACGTTTTCGTTTTCAGTTTCTCTTATATGTTTTAATTGTTTTTTGTTTTGTTTTTCTTTAAAACTGCAACATTTTTTACAGAAATCCGCTAACACAAGGTCTGTGAGGTTATTGACTGCATAATTCTGCACAGAACAAGTATTTCCCTTCTTGTTGGAAGGAAACCATACAGTAACTGGACTCACAATATGGCGCCCCCCAGTGGCACAGCGGCATGTCTGCGGACTTACAACGCTAGAAACCGGGTTTCGATACCCGTGGCGGGCAGAGCACAGATAGCCCATTGTGTAGCTTTGTGCTTAACTTCAAAACAACAACAACAACACAATATGGCCTATACAAATTAAATTTCATTTTTCATCATGACACACATTGTAATTGAATTTATAAAATTTTAATATTTCAATTTGGTGGCCCGGCATGTCCAGGTGGTTAGGGCGCTCGACTCGCAATCAGAGGGTCGCAGGTTCGAATCCCAGTCCCACCAAACATGCTCGCCCTTTCAGCCGTGGGGGCGTTATAATGTGACGGTCAATCCCACTATTCGTTGGTAAAAGAGTAGCCCAAGAGTTGGCGGTGGGTGGTGATGATTAGCTGCCTTCCCTCTACACTGCTAAATTAGGGACGGCTAGCGCAGGTAGCCCTCGTGTAGCTTTGCGCGAAATTCAAAAACAAACAAACAAACAATCAATTTGGTTGTAATTAGCAAAACGCTAAGCTATTAATGCTCTGTCCATCACGGTTACCGAATCCCAATTTTTAGCGTCATAAGCAGACAGAATTACTGCTGAGTCACTGGGGTTGCTTTAATATTTCAACTCACTCAAAAATTCATATCCCGAATTTCATTAATCTAAATAATCCAGTTGTTAGTTCCGCCATTGTCTTTTCTAGATTTACAATACTAAAATTCGGAGTTTGATTTCTCGCGGTGTATAGAGCGCGTATAGTCCGTTATGTAGCTATACGCTAGCGACTGGGTTAGTCAGGTTAGAATTATATACGATTTCTAATGGAAAAGTCCATATACGTTTCTACAACGCGTACTCGCTGTACACGTGTGCTTGGCCTTAAGGATATGTCATTAGTTATTTTAGATTTAGTCTCGTAACAGTTTAGTGTAACCATTTAAAGAAATATCACTCAATTTATAACAAAACTAGGAAAAATATAAATGAGCCTTGTTACTTCTGCTATAGTAACTTTATTATGATTTATTTATTAAGAATAGATTTACTTTATTTGAAGGTTTAAAAAGTGAAAACAAAGTATAAAATCATAAATTAGTCCTTTCCAAAATGGCTTCTTACTGGAGTAATACAACAGTCAAAAAGTGATAGATTTTGTTAAGTTTTTCGTCAAAAGTTTAACTTAAAATGACCTAAAACATGGGTAAAACAAAACATAAACATATAAAGAAACAAAGACAGTGCCCTACAGGTCTTGTCGATCTAAGATATATTGAAAGGGAAGAAGATGATTTTGGTCCAAACGCGTCACATGGCATTGTTAGTGCTGCTGATGTTGGTGTTGTTCAACTTCAAGCCATAATTGATAGGGTAGGTTTACCTAGCATGTACTCTTCGTGTAACTATTTAAACTGGGCCTCGGCATAATTCATGCAGTTAATGGCAGTCTACAAGAGGACTTTCTGCATTTCAGTTTGAACATAATTTTCTCAAGCGAAAAATTAATTTGTTAACAAATATTTTAACCTTTAACAGTTTAAGAATGTAACATTATAATAAAACTAAGCAAGAGTACGTTATTTGATTTTGAGTATGGAACTTAAAAGCATATTGTGTTAATATAACAAGTTGGCAAACATAATGAAGTGATTTACTTTTGTGGGAAGATGCATGTTTTGACAGACCAATGTTCAATCGGAATATGTCGTATATCTCCCCCCCCCAAAAAAAAATATATCAATATGCTTATGAATCGTTGTTTGCAACTTATTATAACTATTTTTTTATTTTAGATAAGTCGCATGCAAGACTACTAACTCTGAAGTATACACTGTTGGTATTGCAGCTTAAAACTTATGAAAGTGTTACAGTATTGAGTTAATGTTAATAACTACAAACCTTGGCTCTCTGATTAAGGATCTAAATATACTTTTATCAGTTTTTTGTTTACCTGACTGAGAGCTTTAAGCTTATTTTACCTTGGATGAAGCTTTTTGATTCTTTTGACATTTCTTTCTATCTCTCTTAGTGTTAGCCTTGTATAATGGATTTTAAATTTAAGAACTTATGAGTGTAAGTGAAAAAGAATGTAATAATATGTCTGCCAGTGCCAAGGCTTATCTTGTTGTTTGGGATATGACAGACGTAGCAGTGGTCAAGACAATATTTATATTATCAATTCTTTGAAAAACAACTGATTCAGTGTGAACTAGATTAAGTTGGTGAACGGTAAAGTAAAAACTAAAATAATGCTATAGCTCCATAAATTTGCTGCACAAAAGCTGTAAAATCATGTCTATATGCTTAATTTAACTTATAATTCTAGAAACATATAGATAAAATTTTAGTTACAATCTAATATGAAATGTTTATTTTTTAGTAGGTCATCAGTTATGCAAATTAAGTGTTAGTGGGAGCTGGCAAAAAAATTTAGGTGCCAGAGGAACCTAAACGATGTTGTCCAGTATGTTGGTACTAAGTTTCAGGATTTGGTACAGTATTATAGGTTGGAAATTGTAAAAAATATAAAAGCAGACCTACAGCTTGAATTTTGGGCTATTGGAAACCATGACTTACAAAGAACTTCAATTTTTACCAATCATGATGGCTGTGACTTTAAAATAAACAAAAATAGCCATGTACTTTTGATAGAAATTACTTGTATTCTGAAATGTGTTGTGATATTGTGAGGTTGTCAAAAATGATAAAAGAATTGTAATGGAATTGTTATATGATATTTTTTAAAGTACTTGGAGCAATATTGTTTTGTATATTAAATAGGGTTTGAAGCAAGCCTGGAAAGTCATGGAATATTGTGTAAATGTCTATAAGTTGTGGAAAATGACAATCTCTGGCAAAAATTATCCTTTTTGTGATTGTGCCATTTGCAATGCAATAGAGCTTTGCCAGTTACTGATACCAAGAATCTTCATGTTAGCATAGCTATTATGAGTTTTCATTGTAAGTTTTTAAAGTACTTGGAGCAATACTGTTTTGTATATTAAATAGGGTTTGAAGCAAGCCTGGAAAGTCATGGAATATTGTGTAAATGTCTATAAGTTGTGGAAAATGACAATCTCTGTCAAAAATTATCCTTTTTGTGATTGTGCCATTTGCAATGCAATAGAGCTTTGCCAGTTACTGATACCAAGAATCTTCATGTTAGCATGGCTATTATGAGTTTTCATTGTGACATCAGTATGACAATTTACAGCTTTGATTATTCTGCATAGTGCAGCTCTTGTGCATGCACACAGTGATAATTTAAAATGTCAGTTTGTTGAGCAGTTTTTAGTGTTTTCTGATGTTTTCATATATCTAGTCAAGCTTCTGATATTTTAAAAAATTTTGAGAAGTTTTTGAGAACCTTCACTGGGGAAGTATTAGGTCGTCAAGAAATTAATGTTGAATTTGGGAACACTTTCATTAACCCCCCCAAAAAAAACATACATTATGTATTATAGTTAAAGGAACCGCCTAAACGTCACGTCAGCGTAACCTATATAATGTGTAAAGTTTAGTATACTCTAATCCCTTATAGTGATGGCATATGAGGAGACACACATTCGGTATGTAATGCTGTTTGAATACAAGAAGGGAAACAACACCTCTGTAGCCACAAAGAATATCAAGGAAGTGTATGGAAATGTTTTGAATGTTCGTAAGTGTCAACGATGGTTCAAAAAATTTCATTCAGGTGACTTTAGTCTTAAAAACTGTGATGGTTGGGGCCAACATGTTGGAATTGATATTGAAGCTCTGAAGATGCTTGTTGAGTCTAATCCAAGGTAACACACTCGTGAAATGGCCTTGAAATTGCACGTCTATCATGAAACAATACGTAAACATCTAAGGAGTATGGAAAACTCCATAGAGAAGATGATCATCATTTTCAAAGTGTGAACAGAAGTGCCACCAGTGATGAAAAATGGATTCTCTGTGCAAATATTAAATGCCAAAAACAATGGCTTAGTCCTAGAGAAAAACCACTTCCGACCCCAAAACCTGGACTCCATCTGCAGAAAGTGATGTTTTGCATTTGGTGGGACATCAAAGGAGTAATTCATTTTGAACTCCTCAATCCACAGCGAACTGTCAATGCAGAGATCTATAGTTGGCAACTGGAACATTTAAATCAAGCCCTTCCTCAGAAACGCCCTTCACTTGTCAATTGGAAAGGTGTTCTTCTCCACGACAATGCACGTCCACATGTGGCACATTTGATGCAACACAAGATTATGGAGTTGGGTTGGGAAGTTCTCCCCCACTCACCATATTCTTTAGATATGGCACCATCAGATTACCACCTTTTTCGTCCGCTGCAACACTATCTTAATGGGGAAGCATATGCAAATGTGGAAGGTGTTAAACAGGACATTGACATGTTTTTTGCTTCATAGCCAAGTGATTTCAGGGCATTAACAACCTGATCGTAAGATGGAAAAGCATCATTGATAAGAACGGAGACTATTTCATATTATAAATATTTTGATATACAAGTTGTTCGGGTTTTTTCATCTAAAAAAAGGAATATTAATTTTGTGATGATCTAATACGTGCTTGTATTTCATGGATCTCATGCTAAGGGCTATTGTAAAAAGGATCTAAATGTTTATTAGATAGGTTTTTATTCTCAATATTAGAAAGAGGGTTCTGGAAAGTTATGGAATTTTTGTTGTTGTGGAGGCTGTGAATCTTGCTAGAGTGTAAGGCTAAAAAAAATTTAGGATGACATCACTGTAGAGTTGCATATGTGCCAGATTCTCTATTGATTTATGGGCAAAGTCACTGAGTAGGCAGATTCACAAATCTAATTGGGTGTATGCTACATTAACCTGTCTGTTACAATTTGTCATCACGCTGATGAGTTACTTACTGATGTTGTTCATATCCTTTACAATTATATGAAAATACCATAAGTTTAAGACTGTGTTTGCTTTATGGAAAAATTTCATGTTGTTTTTGTTGTTTCTTCTAACTGAATGAGCCAAAGCTTTTCTGTCATGATTTCAATCATGCACCAGCATTGTTCATACGCACGCACACACACACACACACACACATGTATATATATTATCTGGATTTGTACAATAATCACCTTAAACATATAAATTAAATAAGCCAATGAATTTGGCTCAAACATTATATTACTTAGTTTACAATAAAGAAAGTAGAAAACTTAAATTACATTTATTTTAAGATATTTCTTAAATGTAATTATCCAGTAAATAATTTTAAGAAATGTTTGGAAAATATTTTGTCTCTCTTTGTTACTTTGTATCATTCTAATGTTTTTATAAAGTTAAAATATAGGCATAACCAACTAAATAATGTAGTTTGTGAAAATTTGAAAAAGAGATCTAATAATCAGGATGATAGAAAGGATGTAGATTTAGTGTACTTCAGTTATTAGAAAGCTTTTGATAAGGTGTCACATAGATGATTAACAAAAAAATCTTATCATTGTGGGTTGGGGAGACCAGCTGATTGGATTGTAGGAAGACTGGGTTAGAGAAAATAAGATGCTACTATAGCGTGCAGTCTACAAGGATATTTACACTATAGGGTGTGGTCTACACAGATACTATTAACATCATTGTTTTAATGATCCACTAAAACATAATTTCTAGCTAAATAACTTGTATCTATCCACGTTTTTGTTCAGCAAATAATAATAATTTAACAAGATGTGTGTGTTCCAAAAAGTACCTTAAATTTAGGTTATGATTGTCCTAGTTTTGATTGTTGGAATGTATTTCATTCTAATTATATTTGCACCAAAAATGTTATGTAATGGTATTTTGTACTTTATTAGTTAAAAAAGCGTTATTTATAATAAAGGGCACCATTTGCATATAAATGAAAGTTAAACTAGTGATGATGGTGATTGTATCTGTGTAGACCACACGCTATGTTGTAAATATCTTTGTAAATGGCACATTATAGTAGCATCGAAAACAAAATGTTTTTATTAACCCATTGACTGCTAATTTGCTGCATAGGGTACAGTCTTCATCCGGCAATTGAATGTGAGTGTGCCATATATGGTGTATGGCTTGCAAAAATTCAGCACATGTTTAGAGCAGCTGCAGTCAATGGGTTAATGGAGTCCAATCCAACTGGACCTTTGTTACTAGTGGTGTACATCAAGGGTAAGAATTTGTCTTACTTAAAGTACTGAGTATAATTTTGGTCTCTTTATCTAAGAAAGGATATTGACTTATTGGAAAGGGTTCCGTGATAGAGGCCAGCCATTACAGGAGTTTAAAGAGTGGTATTGATTAGTTTTTGATAAATAAAGGATGGATTTAATTTGTTTTTAACTTTCCTGAGATGTGAGTAGCAAGAACAGTCTTGAAGGACAAAATGAT